AAGGAAGAGAGAGAAGAAAGGCGTTTTCGGACCGGGTCTTCCTGCCCAGCGCCTTCAGCCAGGCCCACGGGGCCCTGCACCACGCCTGGCCTGCTGGGGAGGGCGGGGAGCCAGACCCAGGCCTCGCGGCAGCCCCAGCCACCATGCAGTGACCCTGCCCACTGTGCCACCAGGGCTGGGCCTGACGTACGTTTAAATACAGGCTTCATTGCCAGCAGGTGGTGTAGTGGTTAAGGCACTGGACTCCCATGTGGTGGACCACAGTTCAAGTCCCGGACCTGGCAGCTTGAAACTCAAGCTGGGTGCGTGTGCGTGTGTGCCCGAGATCCTGAGAGGAGAATGGAGGAGAAGGGATCGCAGCGTGGCCATTCCCCCTGGGAGTGATTTCTTCTTTCTGTCTGCCTCTCCAGTGAGTGCACGTGCTCGGTAGCAGAACTGTCCAGAATAAATAAATAAATAAATAAATACATAAATAAAAAGCACAGCCTTCGACGTCAGTTTTCCAGGCAGTATTACCTCGGACAGGTATCCCGTCTTTCGGGTCACTCTTAAGCTAAGAGGCAGTTCCGCAGCCCGCTGTGTTCGAACATCGAACAGCTGTTCACCCGCTCGTTAATCTATTCCGATGTGCTTCCGGGAAGGGACGTGTCTTCAGCAGGCAGGTCTGCGGACCCACGCTGTGCTGCCGTCGCTGGGAGAGAGCAGCCCGGCGAGACGAGAGAATAATCGGCATTTGACAGACGAGCCTCACCTCCCCATGGGAGGCAGCCGGACTGGGAGCGGCAACGGGGCCAGGGGACCCGGGTAGGGACGGGTGTTTCGTCAGCTTCTGGAACTAATTGGGCCCTTCCGGGAACGTTCTCACAGCTCGATCACTGTCCTCGGAGGCCTCTCTGTGCCTAGGCTCCCCCTGAAGTGGGGGTGGTTGGAATTACAGAATTTACATTCTGAAATAACACTGCTGGAAATCTTGGCGGTATTTCGGTGGCTGGCCTGATTTTGCCGCCATGCCGGGAACCTGGATGTCGGGAGTTTGGGGGCTGACAGATGTCCCCTCCACTCCATCGGGGCTGTGTAATACCTGACTGGCACTGGGAGGAGCACGTGGCGACGGCTTGCCGGGGAGAGAAACTTGAGTGGACTCCAGTGGGCCCGGGACACACACTGCAGTAGCCCATGTGGGGGTCCAGGGATGTACCGTTATGCCACCTGCTGGTCCAGGGTATAATGTTCTTATTTAAACTAGAATGTTCTGGGCCAGCAGGTGGCCTGGTGGTTAAGGTGCTGGACTCCCACATGGCCGACTGGTCTGAGTCCTGGACCTGGCTTCTGTCTTTCTCAGTTTCCCTCTCTGTGTGTCTCTCTCTAGCGAGTGCATGTGCCCTGTCGCAAATTAAGCAAAAAATAATAATGATAAATAAAATTGCATAATTCTTTTAAAAAATTAAGTAAATTTTAATGTTCTGGTTTTAGTCTGCAAACTAAAAGCCCTAGTTGAAAGACAAAGGTTGGGGCCAGCAGGTGGCGTGGTGGCTAAGATGCTGGACTCCCACATGACCAACTGCAGTTCGAGTCCTGGGCCTGGGCAGCTGGCTTTCTCACTTTCCCTCTCTCCCTGCTCTCTGTCTCTGTCTGGTCAAATTTTTATATATATATAAAATTCGCGATCTCCTGGGGGTGGGGGGCTAGCGACCGTTCGGCCACTGCACCAGCCTCCAGGCGGCCTTCCTTCCACTTCTGAGCAATACTGAGAACACGCATGCTAACTCCGACAGCCTTTCAGAACCATCTGTCGTTTGGATGTGTCTGGTATACAGCCCCTTGGGTAAATTAGTTTCTGCTCTGGAGTCTTTAAAAACATTGTTGGCCCTTCTCATTTTTCAAAAAAGTAGTGAAAATGTTCATGAAAGAACTTTAAAAAGCCATGGAAAGGCCCTCAGGTGGCAGGGCCGTTAAGGTGTTGTATCCCACTCCCCAACTCTGTGGTTCGAGTCCCAGACCTGGCGGCTTGAAAAACCATGCCAGGCACGTGTGTGCATGCCCCAGATCCTGAGGAGAATGGAGGAGAGGGGCTGCAGTGTGGCCATCCCCTCTGGGGGAGACCTCCCACTTTCCCTCTTGGTCTCTCTCTTTCTGGGCAAGTACATGAGCCCTGTAGAAAGAAGAAAGAAAAGAAAGAACATTTTTTTTTTAAGTCATAGGAAAGCAGAATTGAAATGCAAATTTATTTTGGTGCAAAAAATTGAAATCCACGTAGTTTATTTTTCGTAATCCACATTTTCTATGAGTTTTTGGGGTCTTCTCGTACATTTATTTCAGACAGGGCCTCTGTGTCCTGACCCGGTGTGGGCACGCACCATCAGGCCAGGCTGTGGGGCGGGAATTGAACCCGGACCTCCATGTCCCTCAGCCTGCCAGGTAGTGACACCCACTGGCTGGCCCTGCCGTGGCCAGTTAGATGCTGTGGGAAGGACTCTGCCCTCTCCTTGGCGCTGGGGGCTGTGTTGGCAAAGCGGTCACAGAGCTCGTCAAAGGTCCCCATATTGAGAACCCCCTTCATCCTCAGTCCCCACAGTAAGGGGAGTGGGCTGAAACCTCAGCGTAGGTTGGCCTGCACCTTGGCAACCAGTACCCCGGGCACAGCTTTTCCTCTGCTTGCCTGCGGTCACCTTGTGGACAGTCACAGAACTCTGATATTTTTAAAAAGTTATTGAAAACCGAGCTTTTCTCTTGGGTCATTGGTGTTTGCCAGGGCGGGAGGGCAGTGGGTGTTTGCCGGGGGTCTGTCTCGCAGCTCCAGTTCCCCGTCCTCCTCATCCTCCTCGTCCTCCTTGGCCTTCCCGTCCTCTTCAGCCTCCCCGTCCTCCTCGGCCTCCCCCTCCTCTCCATCCTCCCCGTCCTCCTCTCCGGCCGAGGGCGTGGCCGAGAGTGCTGGGATTCCAGGCAGCGGGCTCTCGAAGCCTGTGGCAGCCCCAGGGACTGAGGCTGCACTTCATTAATTAGTCCTGGCGCATCCCTCTGGGCTAGTTTAGCAGGATCATGCCTGTTTGTGCAGACCAAGAAGTCGGGGCGAGGCTCAGGATGGGCTCTTGTGAAAAGCCGTGGCGATGTCCAGGATGCCAGCTCCGGAATTCAGTCAGCTCGGCTCGCCACTCGACCTCCATCTGGTTGTTCCAAACATGCGTTTAAAGCGACAGCCCCAGTTTCACCGAGCTTGTCCTTCATGGCATAAAGATGGTGTGGATTCTAGCTCGCGTGCTGGGGCTTGAGCGCGATGGCGTGCCCCTAGGTGCTAGCGGAAGCTGCGACCTTGACCTAACCCCCCACAGACGTGTGTGGCTCAGGCATTTTGTGTGGCCCTCTGCAGGAGCCTGCCTCTCCAGGTCAGCAGGGAGGGCGCCGCGCTGGAAAGAGCGTGGGATCTGGGCCCCAGCTGCCCCCCGCCGGGCTCGCCCATCCCAGCAAGGCGGCCGTGGCTTGGTCACGTTGCCAGTTACTTTTACTTTAGAAATACTTCCATGGGCAGCTTGGTCTGGGGCCAGCAGGTGGCATGGCGGTTACGGTTCGAGTCCGACTCAACAGCTTGGGAATCATGCTAGGCCATATGCATGTGCTCAGGGTCCTGGGGCGGGCATGGGGGCGTGGTGGGGCGTCCTGATGCCCTGCCCCTTCTCTGCAGCTCCCAGGTCCCAGGTTCTCTGCCTCTTCTCTGCAGCTCCCAGGTCCCAGGTTCTCTGCCCCTTCTCTGCAGCTCCCAGGTCCCTGTGCCCTGCCCCTTCTCTGCAGCTCTCAGGTCCCAGGTTCTCTGCCTCTTCTCTGCAGCTCCCAGGTCCCCGGTGCTCTGCCCCTTCTCTGCAGGCTCCTAGGCCAATGAGTTAAGTGCCGGTTTTTCAGTGAAATGAGCTGTAGGGCAGGGGTACCTCCCAGGTGAGTATCTGGGGAGGAGGAGCAGGTGGAGCCCTGGGGGCAGTTAGCAGGGGGGCAGAAGAGCTGCTGGGAGTGGGCGTGGGTGGAGTGGGCATGGAGGCACCTGGCTGGTGCCCTGTTGTGCACCTGTGGGCCTGGGAGGGAGGAGTCGTGGCGGGCACGAGGTGCCAGGTGGGCAGTCTTGGCCAACATGACCGCAGGTCCTGCCTCAGAGCTGGCCCTGCCTGTCAGGGCTGCCTTCGGGAAGCAGACTGCAGAGGAGAGACTGGCCCCGTGAAGGGGAGATGAAGGGGACGTGCTTAGAGGGGCTGTAGGTCAGAGTCGGGGGCAGCCTCATGGGGGGGCAGACCTTTTCTCCAAGACAGGCAGAGAAGGAGGGCGTGGGAGGGGAGGAGTGGGCCATGCAGGAAGGGGGAGGAAAGGGGCCCTGCAGGGAAGGGGGCTGAGGGCTTCTCGCTGTCAGCTTCTGTTGTTCCGAAGCTGGGTTGGGGTGATCCGTGGAGTGTGTCGAGTGGGTTTGGGTAGCCATGACAGGTCAGGCCTGGCCGTCCGTGGCGGGGGCAGGAAGCAGGGCACACCGCAGAAGA